GATTGAGAAAACGAAATGAAACAATGAAAACATTCATTTTACGTTCAAATATCCGCCAAATTCAAACGAAGATAAACAGTCCAAAAATTTTATGGACAGAGACAAATTGCTAGGGGAAGTAGGCAGATTGTTGGATGATAGACGACGGAATGCTGGAAGATGCAGCGTTAGGTGAGGAGGCGAAAACAGCAGTGGGTCAACAACCTTTTTTCTTCCCTGAATTTTCTACTTCTTTCTTCGTGTCCTTTTTTTTTTTTTTTTGCTACTCTACTTGATGTGGACAGATAGGTTTTAAAAAAGCAGAAAATTTTTAGCAACAACTGAAGCACAAAGATAGACATATATCAAGTGTACGAATCGCATTGCAGTGAGACTTAAATATCAAGTCTGATGATGTTAACAGAAATTGAAAGATAAATTGTAAAATATGAACAACACTGAGAGTATTTTTGGTAATAGCGTAGTTACGAGAAGGAAGAAAAAGAAGTGTAAGAACGATAATGATGATAACGATGATGACGACGATGACGAAAAAATATATATTGCATCAAATAACACAAACTATAAAAATGTAGAAAATCTTAGGCAGCTGCCCAAAGGCCACCTGAAAAGCCGGCACCCCAAGATCTTCTGTTCGATGGGCCCTTATCATTCTCACTATTAGGCGTCCTGTAAAAAATTTATCATATCACCAGATCGTTTTTCAGTGAAACAAATAAATACTTTTCATTCTTTTTTTATAAAAATTAAAAATTTTTTTTCATATTTGTGTATATAAATACAGTAATATGTGGAAACAGACACTGTTGGAAAGAAAACTTGTAATAATGGTATCAAACGTAGAATTTTTACTACTTTGTTTAGCATCACTGATGCTCAGTATATAGTAATTTATAAAAATTCGTTTACAGACAGTAATTTGCTTCATTTTGCTTCACCCATCTCTCTTCGACTCTCAAAAAATAATCAAACGTTCTTTTCGTAAAACGAATGGTAAAATTTAAGCAAAGATCTAGCCCAATCACCACCAGTAGTAAAAATAACATTGATCTTGTTATTACCACCAACAATAGTAGCCCTTTTTTGGTTTTAAATGGTGGAAATTCATCAACATCAAGAAAGGAAAAGCAATAAAAACAACAAACAAACAAAAAAAAAAACAAATTTCTTGTAAACGAAATGTCTTTGTTTCTGTATTTTTGGCTTTTCTTAACAAACCGATTCCAAGCAATCAATTTACACCTGTTGCAAAAGTCAAAAAAAAAAAAAGAAAAAAAGCAAGAAAAAAGTATAAAACTGAATGAAGAAACTGTCTTATTGTTAGCATCAACAGCAACAGCAACAACAACACTGACAACAACAACAACGACAACAACAGCAACAAATATTGCCAACCTGGTACGTTTTCGTTTGGTAATACAGGTACCAATATAAAATGCTAATGCAGCTAATATAATTGATATAACAATTGCAACCCATGCCCATACTGGGACGCCTTCCCGATATGCTTCTGTTACTGGCGGTTGAGGTGTTTCCATGGAAAGAAGATCACAGGAGAAAGCGCTTTGATTTCACCAACCTATACAACATTTGTTTAGCAATATTAATACCACCAAATGAATATAACAAAAGAATGGAAGGTTTGAAAGTGAAGGTGATGACAGACAATAAAATAGCAACAAAAAGAAGAAAAAAAAAGCAGAATAGTGAAAGCTAAATAAATAGCCTAAGTTACTGATAGCAGCCTGATATAAATATATGTGTCAAAAATTTTTAAATGTTTTAAGGTAGAATACAGTTGAAAAAACGTTTTTATCCTATGATGAATATTTATTGGATATATTAGAATGTTTACAGTGTGATAATGAGAACAGAAGTAAACAGCATTAAGTAGCTGTTGCTCATTAGATCAAGGTAAAAAAAAAAAAAAAAAAGAGAAAGAACAGTGAAATAAATATGGTTTTGAACAATCTTAAGTAAGTGCAATCAAATACTGTCTTTTTTTTTCAATATGTGATTCTTCCGTTTTATTTTTCTTCTTTCTTCTGTTCTGTTCTTGCTTTTGCTATTTCAGTTAAGCAAATAACAACGAGTTAAGTGAAAGAAAACAAATTTTTTTTTTTCAATTACATTTTAATTGCGTTTTCAAGCAAAACCGAAAACAAAACAATCAAACAATAGCTATAATAAAATTTTATTAAAAAACATATTTTTTTTCTCCTGCTTCTGCATTAATTTTAGCAAATATACTGCAAATAAGGCAATAATAAATGTTTATTTTTCTGTTATAATTACTTATTTGCTTTTGCTAAACCAAAATCAACCAATTTCACCTTTAGCACTGTAATTTATTTTCTACCAAACAACTTAGAAGTAAAGCTTTGTTTGAAACTACAAAAACTAGAAAGAGTATTTTTGTTGTTTATGTAATAGTAGATCTATCTTTATCATTGCCAAAAAACTGACTGCATCGTACTCTTTTTCATCCAATTTTTTTATTTCTTGCATTTTTCTATCTTGTTCTTTACATTTGTTTCTCCGTTTTTAGTTTCCTCTCTAACTTTTAACCTTAATACTTCAAAAAGACGAATTTGCTCCCCTCCCACCAAAAAAGAAAAAAAAGATCGACTGAAATATTACTTATAATAATTAAGCAAATAGGCTCTGTAAACGATCAGAATGCCAAGGGTTACGGTTGCTCCAGATACAGTGTAAGCCGCAAAAGTGTGCAGATGAACGATTCTCACTGAAGGGGGGAGAGGGGAGCAGAGGATTTGTATTGATACTTTAAGACTTGAACTCTGTTCAACTGGGTTTATCATAATAGCAATAGATATATTAATCACTTATCGCCATCCATCATCCAGATATCATCAACATCACTGCTTCCTCTGTCTACACTACTTGATTTATAAAATCAAATTGGCACCATCAAATTGTAACAATTAATAAATAGTGAAAAAAAAAAAATTCAATTTTTTAAACGCAGTTTATAATTTTAAAAAAACAAAAAAAAAGTAGAAAAAAACAGTAAAGAAACTGTACAAAAAGAAGAGCAAAGCAGATATATTTTTTTATTTATCAACTTTTTTCTTCAACGCAATATTAATGATCAAAAATTAGAGCCAAAAAAATAAATAAACTTCAGTTTCAGTGTTACAGTGTACGAAAAATGAATTAGCATTGTTAACAGTATTATTATCAGCTTTATTTATGACGTTAAAAAGTCTAATTCTTTTTGTTTTTGTTGCTTTTTCTTTTGTTTTTCACTCTTTTTCCTACTTTCTCTGCTAATATCACCGCAAAAAAAAATTTTTTTTCTTTTTTTTTGAATTGTTAAAATCGCTGAAAAAAAAGAAAGAAGAAACATTTTATCCCGTCATAAATTACTACATATTTGTTAAAACGTAAATTTTTCTCTATTCCTTTCATCCACCTTTTGTCCTTCCACCAACAACCTCTTCCAGCCTTCCACGTTGAATTTAGTTATTTGATTATTGCTAAAACATAATCGACAAAACTCTGCTTTTTTTTCAATGACAGCACATAAAGTGATTTCCTCTCTAATATCCAAGTTTAAATACTGTTCGTACTCAAGACAACTTTTTTTGATAATAATTGTACTCTTTTATAATAGTATCTAAAAAAAACTAAAAATTCTGGGCTTGTTTTGTCCAGATTTCTATTTTTACCTCTCTCCCCTCTTTCTTTTTCTCTTTTCCCTCCTTCTTCTTTACCGAATTTTCCTCCTCCAATTTCACATCTTCCACCTCCACAAAAAAAACAGAGCAAATTTGAGGCTGAAGATAACACAGAAAGAAAGCCGACATCAGCAATTAGGCCGACTGAAATAAAATAATGACAAAAACACAAAACGAACTAAGAAAGAAACAGCTGACAACAAAAAGTAAATTTCAAATTATCAATTTCATTTTGAAAAAATATTTATTTTTTATGATTAATTTAAATATAAAATTAGGCACCTTTTTTCCGCATTTTTTTTCTTTTCATTAATTTATTTCTAGACCATACAGACATCAAAATAAATGCTTAATGATACAGTTAATTTGCGGACTTTGCCATTGATTTGGTCGACGTCGCCAACCTTGCCGACTATCGTCAGTCTTTTGTGCCAAAATTTAATTTTCTCTATTCTGAATGTATTTAGATTTGCTTCTTTTATCTCACTTGTTACTTATACATTTATTTTATTTCTTTTTTTTTTCTACATGTGCATAATAAAAACAAAATAAATTTAAAAAAAATTTTTAAAAAACCTCTTTTCAACTATTTATAAAGTTTTTGTTTTGCCAGTTTTCCTCATTCTCTCTCTCTGCTACTCTTATTTCTTAGCCACCCCGTCTTTATAAATATTACAAACTGTTGTATTTATTAAATTGATAATCCTTCTTTTGAAAAGTCCTACTTTTTTAAAATCAATTATAACATATACTAGCTATTTCTAAAAGTATAAGCTAAAATGAGACACAAACATTTAGTTCAAGCACTAAGGATATGTGGTCAAAAAAAACGTTGTCTGGCCGCCTAGTGATAACTCTAAAATGAGAACGTTGGATCAAATTCATCGGTTAGCTGCACACTTTTTTCATCTTTCGTAAAACTCGGAGATTTTCCCCTTAATGAACAACATCATTCCGTCGTTCTTATTAGTTTTCCTTAAGTCTTATTCTATTATTGTAAATATCAAAACCAAATAAAAAAATAACCCGCAAAAAGCAACGAAAAAAAATTTGTTGAGTCTTTTATCAAAAAAAAAAAAAAAAAAAAAAA